ATTTAAGGTGGACTGATCCCACCCCCTCTCCCTCGATGCTAACCAGAGCCCCCTTAATGCTCGTCGGAGCCCCTCCCATCCCCTGAACGCATATGACCAAAACAAGTGAAATACCGGGCCAACAAAAAACAGGAATCGTCTGAAGTTCTGAAAGCTCCGTTCAGACTCTGAACTGGTGGTTAACTAGATAGCTAAACGCACCACTACCCATAACATCATCATACATCATCATTATCACCATCAGGGCTGCGCACGGGAAGTCATTCCTCAATATCAGAGTAATTTCGGAACAGACAAAATCTATCTTCTTATATCAATTTTTCGATTAGGAACACAAACGAAAGCGTCCAAAATCCGTGGAGGAATCAGGATTTGTGAGTAGATTACGTTAACTTCATTGGACAGGCCAGCCCGCCTCCCCTCCCCCCTCCCCCCCCCCCTCCCCCCCCCCCCCCCGCTGCCTAACCGAGTTTAAAATGTGGCATTCCTGCATACGTGCGTGCATGCAAATAGAGCAAAACACATTTGCATTTGTGTTGGACTCTTAGTCCAATCGCTGAGTGAAATGCCCGCTGTCCGACAGATTACAGATAAGTGGATGAATAATGCGATAAATCACGCAGTAGCAAATCTTAGGAGCGACGTCACCACATAGTCTGCGCCAATAAATGCGAGGGCATCCGAGCGGGACCACCTATCGTCGTGTACTCACTTGCAGGGGCGTTAGACTTCCTAAATCCTTGGGGGACGAGCCGAGGGCCCGAAAAGCTAACCTCTATCCAGCTTTGTTCTTGTCAAGGAATTAAGCTCCCTTAACCTTGACAAGGACAATTTGTGTTCTTTTTTATGTCATTTCTTTACTGAAAGCTTGTTGTCCTTGATTTAAGTCATTTGGTCATAAAAGTCCAATTATCTCTCACAGTAGTCATGACTAGCAAGCAATCCTCAAAGAGCCTAGGCTCTGTGTGATAGTTACCTTTTCCCTGCGCATTTTGTAACGTTCAAGCCAAAATATTGGGGAAGGAAGGAGCCAAAATTGGATGGCTCAGCACAACACAATGGAGGCCGGGATCCTTGGAGTACAAATACAACGAAACGAACGGAACAGACGGAATACAACGGAACGGAATACGAAGCGACACCCCCGTCCAGGTACTACTTTACCGTGCGTTAGATGACGCTGTCGTAAGCCATTGTGCCAGTTATAGGTGGCGGTAGGCTAGATGCTGGTACAAAAACCAAGCTCCGCTAGGCGTGATCTATGGCGTGCGAAGAGCTTTTCGAAAATCCCTTTTAAAAGGGCTCTATTCACCTAAAAAGCGGTGAGAGAAGTGCAAAGTGATATGTCTAGTTGATTGGGCAACCTCTTTATTCTTAACCCCATCTGTTAAAACCTGCCGTTTTAGAATAAATACGTCGCGGTGGACCTCAACCATGTGCGCATCTGCGTCTAACGTGGCGCCACCTGCGTTTCGCATGTCACCAGAAGAACCGGGCATAGGTGGCTCACCATATCCCCGTGATGAAACTTGCGTCCAACTATATGTAGGTACTGACTACAATGAGTCAGTTGCAAGGGATGTCCCACACGTAGTGGGGGATATTACAATAAGTTCCCAGCTTCCCCCGTCTTGCTAGGCCACTTTTCCCTTGACATATACGTTGCTCCAAATGCATTTTGTTTTGATTGATATATACGCAACAAGGCCACGCATGCAGCGACTATGAAGAGACGTGCACTTAAAGGAAATGCTCTGGCCGCAAAGCCCAAGGGTAATAACTTGCCTTCTTGTGTCACGAGCTAATTAACCATTCAGCTTCAAATTCGGCACGTCAGAAACGGCTCAAATATTTTCTTATTACACTAGCTGCGAGCGTTGCAAAAGTTGTAAGGCATGCTGGGACAGCGGGGTCATAGGAACGTCACCAGTACGTGGGCCACCCAAACGTCTTTTGAAGCACGCAGCGCCATCAGGGTCTGTAGAAGCGGAGGCAGGGGAAGCGAGGGGGGGGGCAGCCCTACACACCTGCAGAAGATCGACATTGACGCCAAGGCGTTGAATGAAAAAAGAGGGAAGAAATATCGCGTTCCCTGCCCGAAAATCCTCAGAGTATCTACTGGAGCTGGTTACCGCCAGGAACGTGTTCACCGCCACCCATCCAGCCTTCCCATGGGCCGCTCAGGCTAAGCAGACCTGCCGATTCGGTGAGAGCACTAATCTCCGCATCACAACTCGGCAGGCGTGACGTATAAATTGCTGCAGTTGAGCTTTTGTGATTTCGTTGAAGCCGGCAAACAATCCTTTACTCACCATTCACATTGTTGGAAGATTTCAACAGCTCCCTGCCATTGTCACACTTCACGGTGACCAGGCTGGAGCAGGAACTCCATTATGTTTGCGAGCGGCCGAGTGCATTGACACGGATAGTGTTGAGACATTGCCATCGCTCCTGTTGTAATGACTTAAATATCCTTAACTGCACTTTCTTCTGTGTAAAGGTGTCCTGTATAACAGAGTAGGGTGCAAACTACTTTTTGTTGCAACACAACTTTTTGGGGCCAAATTGCGGCCCATGGATCCGTGTACACATGATTCAGGGCTAAGCAAGATATAAAGATCATTCTAGATCATGCACATGCAGGGTTTTTTCAAATGTTCTCAACCCACTTGGGCGTTAAAGCGTCCCAATTTTAACCGTTATGCATAAGAAGATAAGACCGGTGTTGTGCATGGTAACCGTGCCTCGTTCAGCTTATCCTGACTCATCGCCATAAGAGATAATACAGTTTGGAAAGGTCTGATCATGGGAATGGAATGTAAAGAGGGTGAAACGATGGATTGGGTACCACTGGAGCCACATCGTCCCAAGGAAGACAGCAGGAGACTGGCAGCTATAGTGTTGAGATTGAACTACATTACACGTATGTAATTACGCATACATATGTGCAGCGAACCATTCAATACGCCGACACTGACGTCATGCATGACGGCGACGCACACCGGGCCGTACGACTACCAGGCACGCATCGTGACGGCTCGCTGGCAGGGATTGTGAGCAAAGCCGCGCTCCCAGCGGTGCTGAGATCTGCTCTAAATACCCGCCGCAACAACACTGTGATGGGCGTGACACGTCCGCTTCAGCAAGTGATTCGCGGCACACGTGTTAGCCGACTGGCGCCCCGGTCTGTAGTCAAGGGTGCTGATGGTGAGACGAGTGGTCCAGCGCCCTTGCAAACACTAATTTGTTAAGCTATTTAGAAGGATTTAGCCACGCTGCCTTTTTAAGTTCAGTTTGAACTGGTGCTGGAACTAGTTAGTGCCTCCAGTTCCGTGAGAAGTTCAAAACGAGATGAGCAGAGGTCACCAGTCTCCGCACGATACGTGAAGGACAGCTCAAGCGTGGTCAGATAATGTCACCAACGCTGGCTGACCACAGGTCCGGAGGCAATTCATCAAGTCTGTTGGGTAACAATGACAACCAGAATGCTTTTTACGTGCCGACAGAGGCGCCGACGCGAGCGATAGGTCACATTCTCCATACTTAGCCAGCACGGCCCTGGCTGGTGCAGGCACAGAGCTCGTCCAAGCGGCAGCCACCGCCTGATAAAATCGGCCCTATCGGATTTTTCTATCCAGAAACTTTCCAGAGGGAGAGAGAGAGAGAGAGAGAGAGAGAGAGAGAGAGAGAGAGAGAGAGAGAGAGAGAGAGAGAGAGAGGGAGAGAGAGAGCGAGAGAGAGAGAGAGAGCGAGAAAGAGAGAGAGGGAGAGAGAGAGAGCGAGAGAGAGCAAGAGAGAGCGAGAGCGAGAGAGAGAGCGAGAGAGAGAGCGAGAGAGAGAGGGTGAGAGAGAGAGAGGCCGCGATATTACGCACGAGGTTCCTCAGCGTAACGTGTGCACGCCATGCTAGCGGGCGACCGGCAACAGAAGAGGGTGTTGGCTGGGGTTGGAGCTGATCGCGGCTGGACGAGAAGATGCCGGGCCAAAGGATGTCAGGCCAGAATATGCCAGGGCAAGAACCAGGTGGCATGAGGCAGTTTGGTATCCAGGTAACCACGCGAGCGTTTAACGACGAGAAATGACTGGGATTCACATTGTCCTCGTGTCTCCTTTCTATATGCATAGAAAACGGAAATCTTTGCGCCAATGGCCTTTTGAGTCGTTCGTGCATCCGATCATAAATCTCTTGGACGATTTTCTGGTTCTGATTTTCCGTTTATAAACAAGCACACGCACGCGTTTTAAGCTCAAAGAAGTTACTTTTGTATTTTCACTCTACCGTGCCGAACCAATTTAAACTCTTTTGCTGGTGAGTCGAATTTATGGTTAGGTTTCAAATCTCAGAATCATTTTTGAACGCGACGCATCCAATTTCTCAAGAACGGTCCGGCATCCCAGATGATGACTGTCGTCGGCTCTAACGTTTTGTGCTGTCTGGGATCACACACTCCAGGCCGTTTACTGCACTGACATTTCGCCCATTGACGGCCTGTGTGCGGTGTGCGCTAGGCGGGCGCAGATACAACAAACACAGCCGTCCCAGCGCGACGGGCAGAGCAAGGCGGCCGATCGACGCATTCCGGCCGTATTTAGGCCTGCGGAGGGCTGGGCCGCTCTGCCCTCCAAGGCCCCGTCCCCGGCCGCGCGCCTTGACCTTAGCATGCGCACGGCAGGGCCGCGCGCAGGCGAACCGAGCGGCGGCCCCAGCTCGCCGACCGTGAGAGGCGAGTGGCCGCGGCCGCCGCCGGCCCGGCCCAGCTATGCTAATGGACGGTGCCCGAGGCGGCCGCGGCCGGCCGCGACCGCCGAGCGCCCCGAGCGGCCCGGGTCAGCGCGCCCCCGCCCCACCCGCCGCTGCCGCCTTCGTCCTTTTATCGCAAACTGTACTGCGCAAGTGGGGAATTGTTCAATGATAGCTGACCGGCTTTGTTATGTTAATACCGCATTCCGATCTGTGGAACGCCGCCGCTCATTGGCTGGCCGCGCCGCGCGGCATGACGTCACCGGAGAATGGAATGCCCGTACGGCCCAAGATGGAGGGTGGTGCGGGCACGAGTACGTGAGCGCGGAGTGAAACAGTGAAAATCGGGTGGAAAATGCCGCGAAAACGGAACGGTGAGATACCCCTGCCAGATGGGTGGGACATGGCGCGTGATGTGGACGGAAAAATCTACTTCATCGACCATACGACCAAGAAAACGACGTGGGTGGACCCGAGAGATCGGTGAGTGTTCACTGGCGGCCGCCAGGCGGCGCCGCTGTCTGTGCGCTGTGGTATGCGGGCCCCCGAGACAGGTGCGTGGGGCGGGGAGGGGACAGCCCACGGCAGGGGGTCCTTCCGATGACCTGATATGCGTCTCTCGTTGTCCCAAAACAGCTGTTGTGGAGCGGGACGTATCGCGAACGTGGCAGCGTCTGGGTTTGGGAACCAATCGTGATCCGTTATCTGGTCCAAGCCAGCAGGGCCACGCTTCTGGCCGCCTTAGGCCAAGGGTGGCGACCGACATATGACCAAATTTCCGCTTTAAACGTTGCTTTGCGTAACATTGTACACAAGTTCATGTTGACCAAGCATGATTTGTCGCTAGGATAGAACAGATTGCCGAGTTGGCAGCGGGCCAAATTCCGCAGGTTATGTTCCTGTGGAATTCCAGTTGCGTAGCGGTTACTGCGCCAGGGTCGCGCCTGGTTCCAGATGCAGCAAAGCTCTGCTGTGTTAGGGCGTCTGCGAGGAATGGAACCCTTCGCCGTCACTTGGCGGCGGTGCGTGACGCTGAGGCGGTCGGTTTTGTGCTATGAAATTGGAAACTTTCTCTGGCAGGACGGCACGCGCTCCGCGTAACCGCGGGCCGGCGGTCCGAACCGGGCGCAGCTGGTGCCTGGCTCAGCAGCAGCTGGCGGGCAGGCCGCCTCTGGAGGGCACTCCAACGCGCAAATCACACAGTCCAACACGTGCGCGATTTCGCTCCGCTGTAATGGATTCTGACTCCGGCCTCGCCCCGCGTGCTGTTGGTTTCCAGCGCTGGCTCCCACCGAGCACAGCACATTGTGGTTCAGCGGAGATTCCAGCTCAATGGGCTGTGTCTCAATTGTGGAATCGATTCCTATGCATATGACTCATCGAATGTTATTAACAGCTGTTAATGAGGTTCATCTTGTACATGTACTTTCGGCGGAAATAATAACATTTTACCCGTATGTGGTTATGCCAGCTTGTCCATAATTGTAATCGCTACGAACGACTCGATTCCGAATCCGATTCTGACATATTTATGAAGGAATTTGTTCCACATTGACTCAAAGAGCAGATGTCTGATTCCAGGGTCAGCGCTGGCTCCACAGGAGCACGTGGCTGCTAGCAGCATTCCAGCTGAGTTTCATTCATTCAGTCATTCAATCCAGTCCAGTTCCAGTCAGACGTAGACGTACCAGTTGGTACGTAACATGAGTTAGATGTTGCAGCAATGGTTATTGCTTTGTGTTTCGTGCATAGCAAGCAAGCTTCTTTTGGCTTACGCGTTCTTACGAGCGTGAAACACCCACGGTGGATATGCTGGTCCAGACCGATGGAAGCAGGATTATAGTTCATTTTGTCGAGTCGCGGGCTGAGGAATTGAGCTTTAGCGTGTGATATGTATTTACCCCCCCCCCCCCCAAAAAAAAGAGGATTCATCTGCCGACTGGGTCCTTGCGTAGACGCCATGAACAGCCTCGACAGACTTTCAAGACCACGGCGTTCAAATGCATGGAAAGTGAAGAGGTTTGTGATTTTCGAAACGCGCGAACCAATCATTAGCAGCCACCGGGCAGCCGAAAGCAGCGAACCTGGTCGCCGATCAACTACCCAAGATGAAGCAGTTCTGTCGCATGAACGTGTCGTTCGACGGTTTGTGGTGCCGCTGGAGCGTACCCCGAACCCCATTCACTGCGTACGTGGTGCTGTCATGGGCCTGGCAGCTGGGAGACGTGGGAGTTATGCCCTCCCAGTTGGAGGAAATTAGCATGGTGGCTGTGGGTGTCGTTTGGAAACAGATGCATTAAAAACCTGGATAGCTTCCTCCCCCCCCCCCCCCCCCACCATGACTTGGCTGGCGGCTGGGAATGTAAGCAGGGACCGAACCGTAAAAGGCTATCAATTTAGCGTGCGGAAGAACTCAAGTTGTTCCCAGGTTGCGTTGTGTGTTTGTTTTATGTCCCGAAGTAACGTTTGGGCAGTCAGAGCCTGATACATAGGGCCTAGTAAAGGCCATTTCGAACGAGTGACATTTCTGGAGCGCAATGCAAAGTCATGCTGTGGCGAAACCTTAGGATAGTTATGTGTGATGATAATACCGGATGGGTGGATCGCTACATCACCAAGGCATGGTTAGCAAATGGATTGTAAGTATTCTCGAGTTCAGCTTACCCAGCCAACGTTTCGGCACGGTATTGCACTGCTTTTCTTCCTTTGCAGCCCTAGATTTCATTTTTAAAATAATGGTCTTAAGTGCCCCAATGCATTTATGTGATACCTTCGTGATACCCTTCGAGACTGTGCCGGGGATTTCACATAGTTTTTGTTCAAAATTGGCATGAGAGGGTGGGAATGGCACGGCAAACCCTCGAAAGTTCCACTACGGCCCCCGTAACATCCCTCTAAGACCCACAGCAACGCCCATTATTAAAAGTTCTGAGAATAAAATCATTTGTTTCACATAAATGTCATGAGAATGGCGTACATAGGTGAATCGCATGCCCGTGGCCCCTGCTCCGTTGCTCATGCTTAAGCTTGTGTGTGGATTACGTGAGAAACCGTTCCTCTTTACGGCTGCTCCATTATTGTGACTGGCTTTTGCTAAAATTTTGACGGCCTCAGCGAAAAAGCGGCTCCTTGGCTTCGTGCGGCCACTTGGTGGCTGGTTTCATTGTTGGATAATTGCTTCGCTATCGTTCCAGAGCCGAAGTTTGCTTTATTCTGAGATGGGAAGTGTAGGGGCAGCCAGATGTAGAATAAATACATAATGTTCTGATGGAAGCAAATTGCCATAGCAGTTGGCTCGACCATAAAACCCAGGAACGTGCTAGAATGTACCTTGTTTTGTAAAAACTAGCCAGCGCGCGCTTTAAATATTGCATGAGCACAAAGCATGTCGCTGGTACAGGAAAACCACTGCCGTCCCTGTTCGATTGTTGATGCTGCATTCCTTGCACGGTGATACAGCATTGTATCTACGTATGAGCAGCTTGTGCTTGACGGCGATAAAGGAGCTGATATCTTGCAAAACCGTAAAGTTCCCTAAGTTGGCAGGAATGTCAGTGCAAGGCCTCGCTCCCAGCTTCAGTATCGCCTCAGACGAGTCTCGCTGGGGCCCAGTGTTGCTTTTGATATGTCCATCGTGTTTAACACAGTTTGCATGTACTTGCATTGCGATTCTAATTCTACAAATTTCTGCTAAGGCAGGATATAAGCGTTGCATACACATTATTATCACACTGAATATTCCACCTGTACTAGTGTGCATTTTTATATTTTTCGAAGCTGTCATGTCGACTCGGTCCATATTTCTCAGATCACGGGAAGTGCTTTACCGCCGCCAGGTGCAGCATTGACAACAGAGGAGCGAATGACTGTTTCTTCCTCCGTTGTGGAACACTGATTTAAATGTGCATGTGTTTTGTAACCGACTGACGCTAAGCCTCGCTCTCTTTATTTGTGTCGTGCAGGAAACAAAGTGACGTCGATTGTCTTGTCCCCGATTTCGACCGGAGTAGCCGGGATAGTCTGAGCAGCTTTACTTAGTGAGATACCTGGAGGGCAACACTTACAGCAGCAGCTATTCGGAAATGTTGGAAAGAATTTCCTATGGATCTCCAGGAAGTTAAGGCCATTGTTGCAGAGATTAGCTGTTTTGGAGGTTCGTGAAGTTCTAGCAGCCATATTGTAGCATCCGCAGTGTGATCATATTTTCGGCCTCTATAACTGAGCATACTCCCATGTTACTAAATGGCCATATAGATTTGATATTTGATAATGTGTGGAAATCAAACTATGTGTACTTGCATAGCTCACTGTCCTTTCCATTTGAATTACCGCGTCCAGGATTTTTCTTTTTCGTTGCTTTTGGCGGGGAATGCTGGGACAAAGAAATAGTTTTAACTGTATGTTAACTGACACAGTGTCTTCAGTTTGGTTCGCCAAACAGCGGACCGTCGTGCCCCAGTGATGTGCCAGGGTCAGTCTGTTTTCTTTTCATTTTATGAAGTTTAGGCATATTCTACCCGTACTAAAGATTCTTCCAAAACTACTGGGCATCCACATTTGGCGGCAGCCGGCGGTATGCAGTCAAATAGTGATCACGATTTTGGTATGCAGGGAGTTTGTCTGCTTGAGCTGCGTGCAGTTGTGACTTACGTGCAGTTTGGTTTCACACAATCAAACACTTCATAAAAAGAAACGCAAAGACAAAAGATCGTCGGTGATCCGTCTAGATTTTGAGTGATTCCCCGCGAACGTCTTGAGCCGCGTCTGCGCCACAAGGCGTTGGTGCCGAGCGTCGAGCACCGTGAACACTGTCCGCCCCTGATCTGCGTCAGCTGCCATTAGCTGCCAGACGTCACCCTTGTCCTACCGGTCCACGCCGACTCGTCGCCGGCACTTTGTGCTCTGTGGATGGGGAACACGGAGTCGCGCCCGATGACGGGCGGACTCCGGGGCCGCCGCTTCGCCCAGAAGGCATTGCAGTGTTGGGCGCTGATAATGCATTGCGCTGCCGCGTCCTTCTTCTTCAGCACGGTATTTTCTGTAAAATAGTAAAGTCAACATTATTTCTGAATGAGTACAATAGTATCGTACCAGCTCAGCCCGCCGAGCGGCAGCCCCTCGGGATCTAAGGTCTGAGCCACTGGTGGACCGTTTGTTGCGATGTAAACAGAACTGGCCACGGTTCACGAGAGGTGATCAGAATATGCGGCGAAGCACACGCGAATGCTTGCTACATGGCGGTTCCAAATAAGTGCCGTTTCAAAAATCTGGCTCGGATTGGTTTTTGCGGGGTTTGCGACTTACCCTCATAGGGTCTATTTCTTCCACTTGCCATAATGACTTTGCTAGTTTTACGCTCACTTACCACGTACCTCAATCATGGCCTCTCATCTCATCATGACCTCAATGCTATGCAACAGCGTCAACTATTTAATATAACGTGTCTCAGTTATAGGGCACGTATGAGCTTCGACTATCCTCTG